ACAATCATAAGCTACGTTAGCACTTCTAACAAGAGAGAACATAAAGAGAAAAAGTTTTCCTCTTTTTCTTCTTTTTTAATCCATCTTTCCAACTGCGCATCACGTTTCTATTTTTTTCTAAATTCATTGCATTGTGGCTACGGCGTGATTAATGTGTTCCTGTGGCACTAAGCGGTTTCAGTACACGGATGATTTGTGGCGAGCCATATCTGTATATATGTATATATGTTATATATATATATATATATATATATATATATATATATATATATATATATATATCATATTGTATTATATATGTATGTATATATATATATATATCATATTATATTATATATGTATGTATATATATATATATATATATATATATATATATATATATATATATATATATATATTTTTTTTTTTTTTTTTTTTTTTTTAGAGAGAGAGACAGAGAGAGAGGAAAAAGAAAGAAAGAAAATGAGAAAGAGAGAGAGAGAGAGAGGAAACGAGAGAGAGAGAGAGAGAGAAAGGAAAATGAAGAAAGTCGATTAAGTCTTTTTTGCCCAATAAACTAAACTGCAAGAAATCCTGCAAGCTGCTAATTGTAAATTTACTTGTCATTGTATCTTCCAACTTCTCTATATTCAGCGGGAAAGCCGCGAAAATATCTACACTTGTGTCGATTTCTTGCTCTAGTCCAGTCGCTGGTTTGTAAAACAAAGACTTTTTTCTGTTTCTCATTACAATTGTTGTTATTGCTGCAGGATTTTCTAACTTTTCGTATGCAATATTCAAATTTGTGTAATATTCTCATTTTTATTCAAGCTTTTCAAGCTCTGATTAGAACACATTAGAAAGACTTTAGTGTACAACATTATTAAACATTATCTGGAAATTTTGCGAACGAAACATAAGAACATATTGAAATATGATTATGGAAAGAATGCTGACTTCACTGGGTGACGATCAGAGGAGAGTAGCCCACATAGAAGCTGTATTTCCTAATTGCCTTCTCCGCCTTGTAAGAACTTAAAAGTCTTGCTAGATTGTGAACGGATTCCACACAGTCATGCTTTTTTATTTTATCTCCCAAGCGGTCTTGGATGAGGTCGTCCCTCCTAAAGGAGTCTCGGGAGATCCTCCTCTCGGGATCGAGCTCCCGAAAGACTCCCAAGGTGTCGGAGAATCCTATCACCACGTCTTCGAATTCCGCCCGGAGTCCCTCTGCGTCGACGTGTCTCTCCAGGATCGGCGAGTAGAACCTCTGGGCGTTATTGCATACGAGGAGCTTCTTGGTGGCGCCGAGACTTCGCAGCCACTCCATGAACCTCCGAAGTCCTTCCTGGAGACTCACGGCCGCCACCTTTTCGCCGTATCGCCACAGCGACTCCTCCGTGACGGAAAAGCCGTTCATTTTCGCCGCGTGCCAGTTGATCGGCTGCCTCGGGAAGGTGAACACGTTGAATTCCGCGCCGTGGTCGCCGTTCTCAAGCCAGGGCGTCGCGGCGATCTGAAGGATATCGGCTCTTCGGTGCACTAAGGAACGAGATAAGGATTGTAAGGAAGACAGACACATTGATAAAGATACACAGATAGAGAGAAATGAATAAATATATATATATGCATATGCTCAAGTATGTTTATATGCGAATATCTGACTCCTTGTATATGTGTGACTCTGTGTATATACTATCAGGAGCCAAAGCCATTCTAGCAGCCTGAGCACACTTATATATATACAATATATATATATATATATATATATATATATATATATATATATATATATATATATGTATATCACACACATAATCTCTCCTTAAAACTTGGAGAGCATGCGGATAGTTCTTAATCATCATTTCTCCCGATTTTATTTATGAAGCAGTTGCTGTCATTTATCTATTTCCAAGCAACGGGCAGCAGGACAACCAATAACCAACTGATTCTGTCTACCCTAGAACAATGATAATGATAATAATATGAATGTTTGCTATCATCATCGCAGCAATACCTAACGCTTGGCATCTGACCACCTCCTCCTCCCCATCTGTTCGTCCATGTTCTACTTTGGCTAAGACGAATGCTGCGACATCTATGGGCGACGTGTGGAAACATTTACCAGGCTGAAAATGTAGTCGGACTTTTGCTCCTGATAGTATATAACTTTTTCTGTATAGTGTGTGAATGGTCTATTTCTGTGTGTAATTGCAAGTGTCTGCGTGAATTTGCGCGATGCATACCACGGTCTGTGGTCTCAAGTCCTAGTATAACTGATATGTATTCTTCTTGCACTCCAACAGGCACTGGTTCATCGTTTGGTTGGATGTCCCCTTCTTCCCCGTCTCCAGGTTGTTGGTTCTCTCTCCTTCCACTCCCCACAGGGTGCTCTGCGGTCGAGTCTTCTCCCTCATCCCTACTCAGGACCTCATTTTCTTCTACGAAGCTGGGGTCTCGTCCCTTACCCGCTTGGGATTTCTGCTTGCGTTTCCTTTTTCTCTCTCCACCATTCCTCTTT